TAAACTCTTATAATTACTGATTTGTTTATATCAGAAAGAGGGTATATAGATGAGCAGTCTTGCAATTGAAGGATAGAAACTGTTGCTTTCAAAAGTTAAAGTCCCTTCCTTTGAAATTGTCTTGTTCAGCTTGCCTATAGGTTGTCAGAAGAAGTTAATCTCCATACCACTAGGCCTATAAAGAACCATCTTTTTGTTATGTTGCTTAGCCTTCCCACTTGCATACTGTATATCACGGCTGTCAAACTCCCAGCCCACAGACTGGATGTGTCATGTGCTGGCTACGCCCACACCTGGTTTAGCGAAGGGGGAAAAGTCCCGATACATCACGTAATGCCACCGTGATGACATGAGTTTGACACCCCTGCTGTATATTATTCTTTTGAATTGGCAACAATTCTAGTTTTCCTTCATCTTAGAGATAAATAAAAATGTTGTCTGAAGCAGTCATCAATAAATGTTATTGTAGCCATCTGCTACATAAGTCTGAAGACCAAAACATTAGGTGCAAATTAAATAATTAGAATTTGCTTATCATAAATGATATTTCTCTGGTGCAAAAAATACCCCATTTGTTCATATTCAGGCATCCATTGCTGTATTTGTACAAGAGTAAAATCTGACATGTTGAAGAACCTGCAGTATTTATTCTGTTTTCTTGATTGACTAAATGAGAGAGTAACTGCCAGTAGAACGTGAAAGGAAAAAAATATCTAAATCTACTATTAAAAACCTCTTGTATCCTGTAGATGTTTTCAAGAAAATAACTTCCATTAAATATATCAGGATGTCCAGGTAAGGCTGGGACATAGTTGGAAAATACATATTAATCTCACAGAGTTCTTGTACATTCTTGCTTCTGAAGATAACTCCAGTTTGGTGATAACCAAAGTAAATATAGAATGTTCTATTATCTTTAATGTTCTTTAAGAACTAATGTTCAAGATAAAAATACTGTGTGTAAGAAATCTTAATCAATGAATTCCTCTTGTTAATAGCTAGTTTCGGTACTGCTCGTAAAAAGATGGTCTCCTAACATTACTGAAGGAAGTGACATAGGCACAAAACTATTATTCCCTAGGCTTTTGGATTGTCTTTCCCAGGTATTGATACTTGCCTGCTTGCCTTCTCTTAACTGATGAAAAGGGAAAAGCATCTTCTCTTCTGTTTTTAGCTATTGACACTGAACATAGTTCAGATCAGGTGTGTCCAACCCGTGGCCTGCAGGCTATGTCTGGCTCTGGATAGCTAGTAGTGTGGCCTCAGAAGAACGTAAAAAATTCAAATGATATTTGTTATTTATATACATTAACTATGTTAATGTACTTTATATGCGATTGAAGACAATGCCTCTTCACTCAATGTGACCTTGGCAAACTAAAAGGTTGGATAACCATGGTTTAGATCAGGGGTGGGCAAACTACGGCCCGCGGGCCACATCCGGCCCGTTGGTCTTTTTAATCCGGCCCGCCGAAGATTGGTACAGAATTAAGGTTTGATGTGAATGATTGAATGATTGCATTCATTTGATTTTGACTTGTAATGACAGGCATTTCGACACCAGGTGGTGGCCCGTCTGTCAAATTTTAAAAGTCAATGAGGCCCCCGAGCCAAAAAGTTTGCCCACCCCTGGTTTAGATACTGTTTTAGTATCTAAACTAACCCCCCTTTCTAATTAGTACTTAATGTAATTTGCATTTTGGCATAGATCTAAAATTTCATATGTATGAAGATCTGTTTAAACCCGCGATGGCGAACCTATGGCATGCATGGCACAGCTGGCATGCAGAGCCATTTGTGACAGCACGGGAGCTGCAGGCAAATTTACCTCACTCACATGTGCGCGCCACACAGCTGATTTTCGGCTGGTTTGAGGCCTTTCTCGGCCACCCAAAGGCTTGAGGAAGGCTTCTGCAAGCTTTGCAGGCCGAAAACTAGCCCCATTTCATCACTTCCAGTATTTTTGGAAAAACAGGAAGTGACAAAACGGGGCTAGTTTTCGGTCTGCAAAGCTTGCAGACGCCTGCAGAAGCCTTCCTCAAGCCTTTGGGAGGCTGAAAAAGGCCTCAAACAGGCCAAAAATCAACTGTGAGGTGCAGTGCAGGTAAAGGGGCGGCGAGGGGGGGGTAGATGGGTAGTGGGGATTGCATGCGCATGCGTAGCGGACGTGGGGAGCACATTGCCTTCTGGGTGCTGGCACGCGAGTGCAAGCGCGCGAACAATTTTTGACACAGGAGCCCAAAAAGATTAGCCACTACTGATTTAAGCCATGCCAGCTGTTGTGTGCATTTCATTTAAGAGCAATGGTGGCGCAGTGGTTAGAATGCAGTATTGCAGGCTACCTGTCCACATTGCCAGGAGTTCGATTCCTTTGATCCTGACCAGCTCAAGGTTGACTCAACCTTCCATCCTTCTGAGGTCGGTAAAATGAGGTTGTTGGGGGTAATATGCTGACATTGCAAACAGCTTAGAAAGGGCTGTAAAGCACTGTGAAGCGGTATGTAAGTCTAAATGCTATTGCTATTCAAATGTCTGGGGAACTTTATATGTTTCAGGGTGATTCTTAAATAGATTGTTAAAAATATCGTTTGTTCAATAATGTAGAGAGGTGGTTCTCTCTGATGCTCTGTTAACTTTTATGTTAAATGTTAAAAGTTAATGTGTCTACAGCTGAGTATTACATCTGGAGTTTAAATGAGTCAGAGGGAGTTGTTTCATGGTCTGGCATAAACAGGTTAGCTAACTGGAATTACTCAGTCACAGTTAAGGTTTCATGCCTGTAAAAGGTTGAGGAATACCTTTTCTTTACTCTCTCTGTCCTATTTATTTTTAAGAGTTTCTTTCATGAAGGAAATGTTTTTAGCATGTTCAGATTTGACTATAGTCCTGTAAGTTGTTTGTATAACCATGACTCCTTCTTCCTTGCTTGTTTTTGTTGGCAAAAATAAGCTTTTCAATGTTTAGTGGCTAAATTCTAATATATGGCTACAAAAGTGCAGAAACAATGGGGTACTTTGGGAGGATATATCAAGCTGGTTTTTTTGGTTAGGAAGTGAATGAAGATTGACTGAGATACTGCTGAGGGAAAGAAGGAATTTAATTCACCAATATGTCTGTACAGCTAGTGGAAGGAGTCTTCCAGATGCAATTAAATGTGTTGCTTTTGAGAAGACAAAGTACAAGTAATCCTTGACTTACAACAGTTCATCTAGTGACACTTCAAAGTTACAACGGCAGTGAAAATAGTGACTTATGACCATTTTTCATGCTTACAACCATTGTAGCATTCCCATGGTTACATGATCAAAGTTTGGATGCTTGGCAACTGACTCATATTTACGATGGTTGCGATTCCCAGGGAGGTCATGTAACTCCCTCTTGTGACCTCCTTTTGACAAGCAAAGTCAATGGGGAAGCCAGGTTCACTTAGCAGCCATGTTACTAATTGAACAATTGTAGTGACTCACTTAACAGCAGTGGCAAGGAAGGTTGTAAAATGGAGCAAAACTCGCTTAGCAACTGTCTTGCTTAGCAACAGAAATTTTGGGCTCAGTTGTGATCGTAACTACCGTATATACTCGAGTATAAGTCGACCCGAATATAAGCCGAGGCACCTAATTTTACACAAAAAAACCTGGGAAAACTTATTGACTCGAGTATAAGCCGAGGGTGGGAAATGCAGCAGCTACTGGTAAATTTCAAAAATAAAAATAATTAATTTGGGAAACGATCTCACTATCTCACGTCGCCTCGGGAAGGGAAAGGCAAAGCCCTTTTTGCCTTTCCCTTCCCGGCTGGGGCTGTTGGGAGTCGCTGCCGCCTGCCTTTCCCTTCCCGGCTGGGGCTGTTGGGAGCTTTGCCGCTGCTTCGTCCGGGGTCTCTGGGCAAACACGTCCACCCGAGCGGGGCTTGTCGCCTCCCGCACGCAACGAGCACTGCCCTCGGATTCCCTGTCCGGTTGCCCCCCTTTTGAGGGCGATGGCAGTAAACTGTTCCCGTAGCAGCGGCTGCTCCGCTGACATCCGCGGGCAGACAGGCGAACGGGGGACCTTCTCCTCCAAGGGCGCCCGGCGCCTTTCTATCCACCCCCGGCCTGTCTCTTTCAAGCGGCGGCGACTGCGGGGCGGGGGTCGTCCTGCGGGGACACCGGTGGGCGCGGAAAGAGGGGCGGGCGGGAGAAGCTCCTCTCCCTGCCCCGCCCCGGGGGGGGGTCTTCCCCTTCTCCCGGTACAGGGAGCTCTGCGGCGCTGGGCGGGCGCCAAAGACGACGCTCGGGGCTCGGTCGGAACCGTCCGGCGCACCCGATCCGATGCTAGCGCAGCGGCTGCGCGCAGCTTTGCTCCAGCGGCGGCCTTCCAAGCCGTGGCCTTTCCCTTCCCGAGGCGACGCGGGACTGGGGCCGCTTCGGCGGCAGCGATTCCCAACAGCCCCAGCCGGGAAGGGAAAGGCAAAAAGCGCTTTGCCTTTCCCTTCCCGAGGCGGCGGGACTGGGGCCGCTCCGGCGGCAGCGACTCCACACCATTTTTTTTTCCAGAGGGGAATCTGACTCGAGTATAAGCCGAGGGGGATTTTTTCAGCACAAAAAATGGGCTGAAAAACTCAGCTTATACTCGAGTATATACGGTACTTGTAATGTCATGCAAAGCCTACCCCCCAGTGTTTTTGTTGCATTATCTGTTGGCTAAGAATCATGAAGAATGTGGACAGCTAGACCATAAATATGGTACCTCTTGGTTTCAACCTACTTTTATTGTGATGATTTCATCAATAATAGAGCTTCAGGAAACTTCACCATATGTTAGACCATATTTATCTTCTCGTAAGCTTGAAACTTTTGTTACACATTTTAAGTAATAATGGTGATTCATGTTTAAATTAGCATGAAGTTGTTTTGAACATACAGGCATGTAAATTGATTGATTAGAAGCAAATAAAATAGGAACAATTACAGATGGAAGTTCAGTTCTGAATTAATAGTCTATTCATTGTATTCTTTTCAGGGACATTATGATAACTTATTTTGAGCCTTCTATCTCCTTTGAGGGACTATGTAATGAAGTTCGAGATATGTGCGCCTTCGATAATGAACAGTTATTCACTATGAAATGGATAGACGAAGAAGGTAAGTTAGTACAAATTAAAACTATTTCATAAATTATTAGTATGTTCCATCAAGTGCCTCTGTGACTTTTTACAGTGCTGTAAAAAGTCACAGAGGCACTTTGTGGTTTTGGTCCTGATTCTAGATTCAAATTTATAGTAGTATAGGGGGTTATCAAATGCTATTTGCATTGTTTTAGGTTTCATGATGGTTGTATGGATAACTGTTTGTTTTATGTTTGAAATGAAAAATGAGAAAAGAATATTAGAATGTAGGCTTTCCTGTTTCATAGATCATTAATGTGCTTATCCTGCTTTAGTTTACTTTCAAACTATGTGGGAAATAAATTGAAAAAGGATATAGTAATTGTTTCAGGACATATAGAAATTTATGTTCCTCTTGTTCCTCTCAAATGCTTTTGACTATGTCTTACTGCATTTCCAGTTGATTCATAGGGAAAAGATTGTCCTACAGGCTGTCCAGAAACTCAGAATATATTATTAGCTCACATAGCTGGTCAAGTTCAGTTGAGTAAAAATACAAGACATTAACTGTGGAAAGAGATGCAAATAAAATTATTGAACTGGAAAGTAGCAAGACAAGTTATTTATTGTATTTCATTCCAAGTTACCTGCAGTGTAAACTTCCTGATATTTAATCTTAATTCAGAATATCGGATAGGGAATCTTAAAAGTGAATAATATTCAGATAGTCCTTGATCTACAACCATTTATTTAGCGACCATTTGAAGTTACAATGGCATTGAAAAAAGTGACTTATGACCATTTTTCACACTTCTGACAGTTGCAGCATTCCCCATGGTCATGTGATCAGACTAACTTAACACTTACAGTGATTCGCTTAACAACTGTGGTAAGAAAGGTCATAAAATGGGGCAAAATTCACTTAACAACTACCTTGCTTAGCAATGTAAATTTTTGGGCTCTGTTGTGGTCGTAAGTCAAGGACTACTTGCACTGCATTTAATTGTTTAAAAGGTATGGTGAGATACAGATGTGAATCAGTAGCTTGCTGGCCACTTCCAGCAATCTAATTCTAGATCAGCATTTTTTTTTGTTTTGTCTATTGATCATGATTCATTATATTCAATGAATATAATGAATATAGAGTTAGAAATCCAGTTTTAGCTATTTCAGTATTTAACTCTTTTTTCCCCGGCTACTTACATGATGATAGCAGGAAGGACTTTGTGGCGATGATTAGATAGCACAGGAAAGTTTTAAACTTTGGCATGCATAGAAGTATTGTTAAAGAAAATAAACATTAATTCCAGGAGGATTATAGGCATTAAATGCCCTCAAGGCATATTTGAGAACATGCCTCTTGGATTAGCACTGTATTTTTTTAAAAAATTGCTCTGTAGTTCTGCTTGAAAAAGAACAGGTTTGTTCCCTAAACAAGTCCTAATAAAAGTTCTTTTTTTTAAAAAAACAACAACAACCTGCAATGAATTACGTTAGGTGCTTCAGCATTAGCTGGCCTTTTTAAGAGCTGCCAAGAAGGAAATGCAATCCTTGAATTTTGAATGGGAAATATGTTTCAAACGAATATCCAAATGTTTGTTTAAAAGCAGGAGACATTTGCATACATTGGAAGGAAGGAGGTATAGGCCTACCCTCATCAAACACCCCCCCCCTAACTAACACCCAAAGGAAACAAAGTGTTTAATCCACAAAATATTTGATTTGATTCTGCTTAGCCCATGAAATCTGGCAGAGTGGACATGCAACAATATCATGTTGTGAGACTTCTGGACTTCAGTGTCTGCTCTGGGGAACTTCATTACCACTGAGATTCAGAGGGCATTTATCATTCTGTCCTTCCTCAAGGCCCTAAAGGGTTGACTCTTCCTCTTTGGGCCAGGCCATGGGATGTACCTGTGTAGAATGTAAATGTTGAATGTTTTGGTTGACATCAGTTGTTTTTTGTTGTTATTGTTACCACAATGACAACTTGACTAAAAATCAACTTATTTTCATCTTTCTTCAAACTACAAGTTACTGAGAGTTTGCAAATTAGGCAGCCATATAAACCTAAATACAGGTAGCTCTGTATTAGCAGTGGCAATTTGAGCTGGAATTTTAATCACTAAGCCAGTGGTGCTCAACCTTTTCTTCACCAGTGACCCCTTTGAAATACCTTTTGTAGTCCTGGACTATAGCCACTGACACCTGCCCACCCGCCCAAGATTTAACTCAAGAGTTAATGCCAAGACTTAACTCATTCCCCAACATCCCGTCAGAACTGAAGAAGCTTCTTGGATGAGAAGCGAAATGTTTTCAAAGAAAAACAAGGAAGTCCAGTTGCCTCTTGAAAAAAACACCTTTGGGATAACCATGACCTGGATGACTGAGAATCTCCATAGACACTTAACTCCAGATTTAAATCATAACATTTCTTCAAGCCTTTTTGGATCCCTTGTGATGACATCGCCTTCCCCAGGAGTCTGTGGACCACAGGTTGTGAACCACTGCATTAAGCAACGGTTGCAAAGCATAACATTGTGTAACTGCACTACTTAGTGATGGCAGTTCCGGTACTTTAGATTGCCATTGTTAAGTGAATCCTTCAGAGTTAAGTTCAAGGGCTTGTGGTTGCCGAGAAGAGAAGAGAAGATTCTTTATTGGCCAAGTGTGATTGGACACATAAGGAATTTGTCTTCGGTGCATAAGCTTACAGTGTACATAAAAGATACAACTGATAAGTCATGATCATAGTCATAAATACATTCATCATGAATCATAAGGTACAACACTTAGTGATAAGGACTCCTGCTGGCTTCCTCATAGACTCTGTTTCCCAGAAGCCAGCAGCGAAGGTTGGAAATGGCAACCAAATGACTGGCATTCTGGAATGTCGTCATTGAACTGGGTGCCTGGATCGCATTATGTGACTGCTGGAATGCTGTGATAGGCAGAACTTCAAGGACCATAAGTTGTATTTGTTCAAATTACAGCTGGTAACATCAGCCCTCCAGAGAATAAGATGTAAGACATCATTGTTACCAAAGGGTGAGGAGAAAAAGAGCAAAGAGTAATTATTACGAAGAAGAAATATATGCTTCAAATATATGTTGAAATACGACAAGCTATTCTTAAAAATTAAGGAATAAGGGCTGTAAAAAATACTGAAAATTAAAAAAGTCAGTTTAAAGTGATACATTAATAAAAAAAACCATCTCTAAATGTTCCGGAAGTGTTATGTTTTATGATTTCTTCTCAAGCCGGAAATGAATTAGGGAAAGAGATTTAGGATTATGTCCATCTTTTGGAAGACTAACTTTCCAAGGACCAAACAGGTCCGAACGTGGCATAAGAAGGGAAGCTGCCAGAGAAAGATTTAAGTTCGGAAATGGACAGAGACTGGAGAAAAAAAATTTTTTTTTTCTGAATTAAAAATTAATCACTAGTACTTACAGAATTAAAAGTTCATCACCAGTACTTACCTGAGAAGGCGGCTTGCTGGCAAGAGAGATTGCTGATTATTTAATAATGAATCATAATCTTTTTGATGCATTTTTCATTCAAAATTCCATGCCTGTCTTGTGAAACTGATAAAATGGAAACATTAATATACAGTAGCTCTGAGAATTCCTAAAAACTTCCTAAATAAAAAATAGTCCTGTCATGAGAAGCTCTCATAGAAAATATCCAGTCTGACACATTAATCAATTTTTAAAACAAATAGCAACAGGTTGGTACACATTTATTTTATTCAGAAATAAGGGTGTGTATTGCAATAACAGATTTAGTATTGAAGGACAATATTTCTAAGACAAATACTTCATAAGTTTCCTTGTTTAAGTTGTGCAATTACCCTATGAAATTGCAAGATTGAGAACTTTAAAGAAAGTATATTGTTGGAAATTATACTTGTCTATGGCTATAATAAAGATTGATTTAATTTTTTTCTGGAATAAAAGCTAATTTAAAAGTACCCTGTTTCTCCAACAATACGGCCTCCCCCAATAGGAAGTCCCAGCATGTTTTATAGGCATGAAATGAAATTAAGCCCCTCCCCCCAAATTAAGGCCTATATTAAAACATGCGAAATGGGGGGGAATGGTGGGGGGGGGCTTGCCGTTAGGAAGTACTTTTGTTGCACACCCGGATATGGTGCTGCCTGCATTGACCCCGATACGAACTGCCCCACCAACGCTGAGGTCAACATCCAAGCCGTCGCCGCCCGCCCAAAGATGCAAGGGGGGAGAATTAAGTCACCCCCGAAAAGACGGCCTAGCCATTTTTTCAGGGCTCAAAAAAAAAAAAGACCCGGCCTTATTATACGAGAAACACGGTACCTTCGTTTAAATTTAGATTTAGTTGTATCACAAAAGCTTCTGGGAGTCTGGATTGCGGCAGGGCATATATGTGGTTAAGTAAAAATAACTAAATTTGAATTAACTCTTTTTTTAGGGGATCCATGTACTGTTTCTTCCCAGCTGGAACTGGAAGAGGCTTTTCGTCTATATGAACTAAATAAGGATTCTGAACTTCTAATACATGGTAACATGGTATAATCTCATTCTTCCACCTGTGTCTCTCCAAAGATTAGAGAGATGGAGGTGAATATTGTGGAACAGGTAGACAATTCTTCCCAGAATAGAAAGTGATTCAAGAAAGTGGAGATGCTTGAAACCCTTTTCTCTTTAGCAATAATTCTAGATTTTATTTATCTTTGTAATGGGGCGGTAGTAGACAGAACAATAAGTGCTACTATTAGCAATATAATGCTACTATGTTTACTGATTTAATTGGATGGTCTGTGACCCATATAATAATCCAAATAAATTCTTTAAAAAGAATACTGGAGATTGCTACTTGACATGTAGTGTATATATTATGGCCTAGAGCACACCTAGGTATTTCAGGGCCCCTGGGCTACACCTGGCCCTTTGGCTGTCCTGTCCAGCCCATGTGGATTGCTTTTATTTTGAACGCAACTTTTAAAAAATGTAGTATGTGAATGCATGCGTGAATATGTATGTGCATGCATGAATGCCTACAGATCTTTATAGCTTTATTGGTTCACCCCTTCACAACAATCCCAGTTTCTCATGCGACCCCTTGGGAAAATTAATTGTCCATGCTTGGTCTAGAGCAATGGTCTTCAAACTTGAGATACCCGAGGAACCCTTTTCAATGTGAAAAATCAGTTTACAATCCACCAATAAATCATTTCGTATAATATACATTTTATTAAGCAAAATGTTACAATAATACATTTCACATGTTCACATACAGCCAGTGTGAATAGATATTGTCATGTTGAACTTTAGATCAGAGGTGTCAAACACAAGACCTGTGGGTCAGATCCAGTCCATAGGGTGCTTAAATCCGGCCTGCGGGGCTGGCTGGAAATATCAAGTAAAGTGCTTCTGGCAGCTAAAACAGCCCCCAAAATGGGAGAAAAACAGGCTAAAACCGGGTCATGCAGCCCATTTTCAGCTGGCAGAGTGTTGGAGGAGGCCACGGAGGGTGCGGGGGGGCATGTGTGGGTCCCCTGCGCCCCATTTTGGCCAGCAGGGTGCTGCAGGAGGGCCCCCCCCCACTGCTCCATCCCCCCATCGGCCCTCAGAGGAGAACTACAATGCTGCTCCAGCCCTCGAAGAAATCCATTTTGACACTCCTGCCTTAGATGATTCTCTTGGAACCTTTGTGTTCCAGGAAACACAGATTGATACTATCTAGTCTAGAAGGATGTAACTCTAGATGCTGTAAAAGTTTTAAATTAGTTTTTCAGATGATTTTTCAATTCCCCGTAAGGGGAAAACTGATTTAGGTTTAAAACACAATTACATAAATAATCTTATAAATCATGAAAGTTTTATGCTCTTTAACAATGCAGTGGTTAGAATGCATTATTGCAGGCTGACTCTGCCCACTGCCAGGAGTTTTGACAGGCTCAAGATTGACTCAGCCTTCCATTCTTCTGAGGTGGGTAAAATGTGGGTCCAAATTGTTGGGGGCAAGATGCTGACTCTATAAACCACTTAGGGAAGGCTGTAAACACTATGAGGTAGTATATAAGTCTAACTGTCACGCTATTGTTGTATCCCACATCTTTGAATTAATCACTAATCTAATATTACTACTTTTCCTCTCTAGTGTTTCCTTGTGTACCAGAAAGGCCGGGAATGCCCTGTCCAGGGGAAGATAGTGAGTATATTAAAGTTAATAAGTAATACAGCCATACCATTTAGATTGATACTGTGATATAGCCTTTGTAAATGGAATATATGACAGCATTATTCTTATAAATTGAAACTACTTATTTTAAATGGAAAGAAAAGAAATGGATCAAACAAACAAAAAAACAGGTATTCCTCAACTTATGACTGATTGTTCAAATTTACAAAGACCATTGTAAAACATCATGCCATGTGCATATCTGCAATCACATGACTGCATTTTGCTGCTTGGCAACCAGCTTGCATTTATGTGATTTGCTATACGTTTTGTCAGTTTGTGATGACCCGTAGTCTATCAAAATAACCCAAAACCCAAAACATATATTACAGTCCGGTAAGGCCTTCACTTAACTTCACTGTTTTATTGGGCACCGTTTAAAGTCACAAAAGTAAATAATGAGGCAAACAGAAAGGCAAAACAAACCGCACTGATGAGAGTTCTGAAGCAAGCCAAGATAACTAATCATAAACTCCAGGAAAATAATTGAGGAGAGTCCATGGGAAAAATGCCAGCACAGATAAACCTCTTTCAAGGTGAACACTAAAATTGACTCCTGCAAATTCTTTTTTTTTTTGGAAAAATACTTTATTAGTTTTACCTTTAAAAGAACAACACAACTACAAGTTATGTACAACAAAAAGACAAACAGGCCTTAGCATAGGCCAAGAGGGAGAGAGAGGAAAGCCTAAGAGAGGGGAAAGGGAAGAGTAAGGGAGGGGAAAGATAGAGTAGGGAAAACAGTTAAAATAAAACCATATTTTGTGACTGTCTGTAAGATCCTTTCTTCTTCAAAAGTATCATCGGCGGTGCTTTTCTTTATCTCTGCTTCGGAGACCCATGGCCATAATTTTCCTAGAGGTGATCTATCTTTGGTTTAGCCAATTATACAAAGGATTCCAATTGTTGTAATAGGATGAGGATTCTTTATTTTTTAGTGCTTGGGTTAGTTTGTCCATTTCGGCGCATTGTAAAATTTTCTGAATAACCATATGTTCAGTGGGAATGGAAGGTAATTTCCAGCATTGGGCAAATGCCAGTCTGGCTGCGGTTAAGATATGAATTACAATATACTTTGATTTTTTGGGTATTTGTTTATCGAAAATTCCTAGAAGGAAGGACTCTGGTTTGTACTCTATTTGTTCCTTGGTTATTTCCTCTAGCCAGCGCCTAATTTTTTGCCAGTACTTCTGAGTTTCCTTGCACGACCACCACAAATGGAAGAAGGTACCTTCTATGCTTTGGCATTTCCAACAATTGGGGCTCGTGTTGGGGTGCATCTTCGCCAATCTCGAAGGGGGCAGGTGCCATCTATAAAACATTTTATATGCGTTTTCTTTATAAGCTGCTGATTTCGTGATCTTAATGTTCCTGTTCCAGATCCTTTCCCATTCTGCTAGAGTAATGCTCCATCCCACGTTTCTGCTCCACGCAATCATATTTCCTTTGACAATTTCTTGTTCTAATTCAGTTTCTAATAAATGTTTGTAAAATTTAGATATATTTTTTTTGCTCGGTCCTAATAGAATTTTGTCTAAAGTCTGTAATTTATTGTAGATTCCAAATTCCTTAATATCTTGTTTATATCTACTATGAATTTGAAGGTACACCCACTGATCAATTTTAAATCCTCGCTCTTGTAATTCTTGTCGGGTTTTCAGTTTTCCTTGTGGGTCTAATAAATTTTCGTACTCCTGCAAATTCTAACTGCGCAGTTGCAAACTTATATACATAGTTCCCACCTGCAAGCCACGAGGAGGATCATGGTAATCTCCTCTTGAGTAGACCTCGCTTTTCCCTGATCCTCTCCTCCCTGCGTGACCTAGGATGGATAGGGGATGGGCCTGGATCCTCCTCTGACTGCTCAGCCGGCCTCTGCCCTTCCCCAGCCTCCTCCACCACCTCTGGAGCCACACTCCCACTCTCTGTTGACTGTTCCTCCTCTTCCTCAGAGTCAGTCTCCACCAGGGGCATGACACAGTTTTTGTCAAAAAATGCTCATCTGGGAGGATGGATTTGCTTAACAAACAAGTGATTTGATTAACAACTATGGGATTCAGACTTAAAACTGCATGATTCAGTTCAGCATTCAATACCATCATTCCAGACATTCTTCTAACTAAATTAAACCAGCTAGCAGTACCTGAACACACTTCTAAGTGGATCATAAGCTTCCTAACAGACAGGAAGCAGCAGGTGAAGCTAGGCAGAATCACATCTGATACCTGTACAATTAGTCCAGGCCCCCCCCAAGGCTTTGTGCTTTCTCCACTTCTCTCCTCCCTATATACCAATGACTGCATCTCAAATGATCCATCTTTTAAAATACTGAAGTTTGCAGATGACATAACAGTGATTGGTCTCATTCGAGACAACAAATCTGCATACAGACAGGAGGTTATATAACTTGCCTCATGGTGTAACCGCAACAATCTAGGACTGAACACACTCAAAACCGTAGAAATGGTGGTAGACTTTAGAAGAAACCCTTCCATACTATCACCTCTTACAATACTAAACAACACAGTATCAACAGTAGAGACCTTCAAATTTCTAGGTTCTATCATATCACATGACCTAAAATGCACACCTAATATAAAAAACATCATCCGAAAAGCACAACAAAGAATGTTTTTTCTGCGCCAACTCAGAAAGCTCAAACTGCCCAGGGAGCTGCTGATACAGTTCTACAGAGGAATTATTGAGTCTGTCATCTGCACCTCTATAACTGTCTGGTTTGGTTCTGCAACCCAACAGGACAGACACAGACTTCAGAGGATAATTAGGACAGAAAAAACAATTACTACCAACCTGCCTTCAATTGAGGACCTGTATACTGCACGTGTCAAAAAGAGGGCTGTGAAAATATTTACAGACCCCTCACATCCTGGACATAAACTGCTTCAACTCCTTCCCTCAAAATGATGCTATAGAGCACTGCGCACCAGAACAACTAGACACAAGAACAGTTTTTTCCCGAATGCCATCACTCTGCTAAACAAATAATTCCCTCAACACTGTCAAATTATTTACAAAGTCTGCACTACTATTACTATTAATCTTCTCATCACTCCTTATTACCTATCCCCTCCCACTTGTGACCTTAACTTTGTTGCTTGTATCCTTATGATTTATATTGACTGTTTCCTAGTGTGATTTGATTGCTTATTGTACCCTGTGACTATTACTAAGTGTTGTACCTTATGATTCTTGATGAATGTATCTTTTTTATGTATACTGAGAGCATTTGCAGCAAGACAAATTCCTTGTGTGTCCAATCACACTTGGCCAATAAAGAATTCTATTCTATTCTATTCTATTCTATTCTATTCTATTCTATTCTATTCTATTCTATTCTATTCTATTCTATGATTTGGATTTAATGACTGCATGATTCACTTAATGAACACTGTAAGAACAGTCAAACACATCGATGTCTCAACTTACGACCACAGACCGAAATTCCATTATGAGTTGTGGTCATACATTAAAGACTACCAGTAGTATATAATGAGTTTGTCATAGAAACCCTAAAATATAAATAATATTTTCCCCCAAATCCAACAGAAACATTGAAATTCTTATTACATCTATTTTCAGGCTTTAATATAATTCTGGGTGATAAATTGGGGTAGGAGAGAGTATCCTATCCTATAAAAAGCAACAGCTGTATTTCTAAAATGGCCCTGGCCTTTTCACACTTGAGAAATTTCAGTGCTTTTAAATGCACCCATTTCAGAAAGAGCAGATTTTTTTTTTTGCAGAGGTGATTTTCCAACCTTTAAATCTACCTTTAAAAGTTCCTAATGGTCAAACTCCTTAATGTAAAAAGGCCCATATGTTGTTAGATACATAGCTTGTTCAAAAACATTTTTCTGGCTTTCCAACTGATAACCATATGAACACTTCTGTTTAGTTGAGCTTGTGGAACTTCTGTTGACTACAAAGAAGATAGTAATAGTTACAAGAGCCACAGTGTAGCTACAGTAATAGCTACAAGAACCACAGTGGTTAGAGTGCAGTACTGCAGGCTACTTCTGCTGGTGGCTGGCTGTCTGCAATTTGGCAATTCGAATCTCACCAGGCTCAAGGTTGACTCAGCCTTCCATTCTTCCAAGGTGTGTAAAATGAGGACCCAGATTGTTGGAGGCAATAGGTTGATTCTGTAAACTGCGTAGAGAAGGCTGTAAAGCACTGTAAAGTGGTATATAAGTTTAAGTGCTATTGCTATCCTTCTGCATTCAAATATCCTTTGGACATTTACTGAAACACAAGCAAAAATGGGCATTTTACTTTCTTATAAATTGGAATATGGCACCTGAATACACCTTGACTTACAACCAGTTGCTTAGTGACTGTTCAAAATTACGATGTCACCTTTCCAGAACACTTCCCCCCATGTGATCTTGGGTGTTGGCAAAAGCTTACCTTTATGACCATTTGCAATGTCCCCTGGCTTTGTAACCATGATTAGTGATGTTTTTGCCGGTTTCTGGCAAAAACCTCCCACTGGGGAAATTCTGGCATTGCTGGTTTCTGGCAAAAACCTCTTCTTAACAACTGCTGTGTTCATTTAATGAATGTTGTAAAATCGGGTCAGGTCGCTTGATGCTTTGAGTTAATGACTTGCTTATAACCTATGCCATTATTCCAGGCTCAATTACAGTCATAAGTTGAGGATTGCCTGTATTTGAACTATGCTATGTATGATGTAATGCTCCTGGAAACTCCAAGGCAGTCTTTTTTTAATTTTGCTTTGCATTTTCGTACAGCACGTTTTTCTGAAAGTTGATTGGTATTAAGTGATCCCAATAGAGATGAGCCAAAGTATTTGCTGCTGGCAAATTCTGGGAGTTGATGTCCACAGGTTTTATAATTGCCAGAGTTGGACACCCTTCATTTAGACCTTCTGAGGTATCTCATGCAACTACTGCATCTTCTATATAACAATGTTGTTATAGGGTGGAGATTGGCTAATTTGAAGAGGTGTTTGTCTACGGATAAATACCCCATTCTTGGTGTAAAATAGAAAAACAACGGGGCAAGAATGCATCCTTGTTTAACTTAGTTTCCAGTTCAAATGTTTCTGAGAGATACCATATTAAATTACACTTTCCCATGAAACTGGTATTGTGACTTTGGGTTTCTGCAGTAAAATTTTTCCTAGATATTAAGTGAAAATCCTGCTTAAAATCACAGAAGTTAGTGTACAAACCTGTTTTAGGTTATTGTTTTTGAATCAGGTGATTAAAGTATTAACTGATGTATAGAGTGGATGGACCTGATCCAAAGCCTACTTGCTTTTCTGCCAAGATAATCTCCTAGAATATTATCTGAGTGGTGCGGTGGCCTAGAGGTGAAGACACTCACCTCCCACTTGGAAGGTTCAGAGTTCAATCCTAGGCAGCGACAGAAGTTTCTCTATCAGGATGCAAATAGAAAATATCTGCTGCAAACTCCGCATAGGCATCAGGCAGGATGTCCGGCCAGGAAAAGCTTAGCTTTATTCAGTTGCCCCAACTCCAGCCTGAATCAAGAGATTACGGAGTAATAAAAAGAGAAAAAAAACTCCTTATATATTATCTGAGCCTTTTATGCTAGCTTTAATTTTTTTAATATATATATAACAGGAACAGCCTATGTTAATGAGGACACTTAGTTTTCAATATAGCTGTTCTCTTGTTTCTTAGTATTTTATGTAAATTGTTCTCACTTATCTGTTCAGTCTTTGTGAAATCTGTAAATGGAAGCTTGATTTGGGCAGTTCTTGAACAAGGGCTCAGCTTAATTACAAGGTAGTGATGAAATGTACAGCTTTGACTGTTTGTCATAATTGCTAGTTTAACTTTATTTATTTTTCCTTAGAATCTATTTATCGTAGGGGTGCACGGAGATGGAGAAAGCTCTATTGTGCAAATGGTCATACGTTTCAAGCTAAGCGTTTTAACAGAGTAAGTGTTAATAAATTTCATTGCTGCTTTCATTGATCAAAATTGGACTTCGATCTTTTGTGGTGTCAGATAAGTATTTCCTTTTATCTAAGTACTAATGCTAAGAAAATAGACATTAAAAGTTCAAATTTACTTTATCAGCTTTTAACCCAGAATTTATTTACATTCACTATAATACAACTTTATCAATAAGAATTTTTATTTTTGATAACCTTTTGATTTTCAACCAAAGGCATTACTTCTAAATTATCCTATGTCCTTAAAAGAGAAGAAATACCTTGCAAGTATTTCTGCAGAATTAAAGGATCTAATCTTCCACTACACATATACCGGCAATTATTGTGTAGCCCAGGGGTCCCCAAACTTGGCAACTTTAAGACTTGTGGATTTCAACTCCTAGAATTCTCCAGCCAGCTATTCTATGCCAGCTATGCTGGCTGGAGCATTCTGGGAGTTGAAGTCCACAAGTCTTAAAGTTGCTAAGTTTGGAGACCTCTGGTGTAGCCTATAATTGTCCTTAGCAACTGTAAACCACAAAACGGGTGGGAAATTAATTTTCTCAAGAGGCCACATGAGAAACTGGAACTGTTGTGGAGGGCCAAACCAACAGGCTGAACTTAATTCTGCTCAATATTAATTTTATAACTTTATAAAAAGCAAAAAATTATATGGTTTTGATTAGCTGCCACTGCTAAGAATACATGCCACATCATATTTACATTTGATTTCTAATTTCCAGTTGATCTTAAGTGGGCTGGATAGGGACAGCCAAAGGGCTGGATGTGGCCCAGAGGCCATAAAATTCCCAGTTCTGCCATGAAGGATTATGACAACTAAAAAACATAACAATGCTTGGGAAGTACCAAACTGCTTCATGCAGAGTGATTGCATGTGGGTTGCTTTATTGGTTATGCTGTTTGTGCATATGAAAGGCCCAGAGAAGAGTATTAAGCTGTCACATTCAGAGAAACTGATATTGAGAATCATTGTTTTTCTAAATATAGAGCAAGTAGAGCCATCTTAGTAAAGGCTATTAGTATTGTTATCCACCACAACAAAGAAGAAGGATGTATGGATAAACACCGTTATCCTAAATATTTGCATTTAAAAAGGGAAAAAAAGTTTGTTACATACCTAGACGTTAGAAAACGGATTCAGAGAAGGGATTGAAAACCAAGGCTCCTTGATAGTTAGCTCAGTCTGTTAACCAACATAGAAAAGCCATGACTTACATAAGCTGCAAAGTTAAGTCCATCAGGTCTTTTTTCTCAAAACAATATTGTGGGAAGTATTTTAAATAGTTGTCAGTTGCCAAATACACAATTTGACATTATTGAAGCCAGAGTGAAATCTTGTGACCTCCCCAAGAAAAAGATATTGTTTTCTTTGTGCTAGCATTTTACAAGTTGAAAAAAACTTGACTGGGCCTAATTTTAAGTTGATGCCATAATCTTTTAAGTCCTGCAAGTTTTTTTGGTTTTGATGCAATGCATTAAACACTGCTGTCAGTCTGGAGATTAAATTATGTAAACATATTTCTAAACTATACTCTGTTTTTCTGTTTGTTTAGCATGGTGTTAAAAACAGTCATTGTTGTGTAGGATTATGATAGTAATGAATGTGTAAATCTGACATTGTGGTCCATTCAACAAATTGTCCTTTCTCATATTGTTAAAATAATTTAATGTACTTTTTAATGATTATTTTTTCATCAACAATACACTGAGTACTAACTATGCAATTTCAGTAATTCCTTTGTCCACTTACTGATACTAGATTTATGTATCTTTTCTTTTTCTCCTTTTGTTGATTCATTCACTTCATTCCCCTTTATTCTTTTAGAAATGATCAATAAATATTTTAAAACTCTACTGTTAAAACCTATATTATATTATATAATATTATATGAATATATGGTACCAAACATATATTCTACGTATATGTTTCATGCCATATATGCTACATATAGATATATTGATATTTCTGCAAACATTAAGAAATAATAGAAAATAAGTTCTTGTAGAATATAGGATGCTTAGCACAGCTTCAGAATATAAGGGAAACTATAACCTTGGGAAAAAAGTAGAAAATTAACTTAAAAACAATACTTAATGAAGAACACATATTAGGAGTAATAAAGTAGACTATTGGTGTGTTTCCTATATAATATTTTACAAGTAAAGCAGAGAATAGGAGTTAAAAGCTGATATCTAGTTATTATTTATGTTCTTTTTTTTCTAGAGAGCTCATTGTGCCATCTGTACTGACCGAATATGGGGGCTAGGACGCCAGGGATATAAATGCATCAATTGTAAACTTCTAGTTCATAAAAAATGTCATAAACTTGTCAGCGTAGAATGTGGCCGTCATCCTTTACCACCAGTAAGTAAAATCGATAGTTGCACTTTCTCAAGTGTATGTGTGTTTACATGTATAGCAGTACACTGAATACATTAGTAAGAAATAATGAAGACTTGAAATCTGTTTTTGGGCTTTTATTTTTGCCTGCCTACAAAAATTCCTATTTGTTGATTTTTCCTACATTATTAAAGCATTTTTATGTAAATTGAAATATTTGAGTGTAGTCGGTGTAGGGTTACTTTATTTCAACTAAACCATTTCTAATGAAGGCACTATGCAGCTTGATCTCGTGCATGTTTTCATGTTTACTTGGAAAATAGTGAAATTTATCCCAAAATAAACACACTGCGTCTTTCCAGAAATAATAGGTGATTGAAAAATTATGATCTTACATTTTTCCTTTTCCTTTCATTTATATATTTTGTAGGAGTCTATGGATCATTCCTCAGTGCATTCTGATAATATAGAACCAGGTAAGAGCATTACTCACTCCTCTCATATAAAAAAAATGAAGTCAAAAACCTGCACAAGTATTTATATTTTCACTATTTTCACTAATTGTTTCATCCAAGAAGCTCAAATTTCTTTTTTTATTGCTGATAGTTATGTTTTTGTTATGTGTTTTATTTTATTTTAGGTACATATAAGTACCTAAAAAGTGTTTTAATATATAATTTGGAATTCAAATCAAATAAATTAATAACATCAGAAAAATGGCAAGAGATGGTTGCCAACTAGGGCTTTTGCTCTGTTAATTCTAAAAGGTGTCTTTACAGTCATGGACAACCAAATAAAATTATTATTTTATTTATGCGATACATTTATCAGGCTGCTCAGCTTATCTATATGATTCTAGGCAGATAATAAAACAAAGTTAAAAACATAGTAAAAACATACAGCATAAAATAACAGCCAAGAACAATCAAAACATCTTCCACTCTGTGTAACCAAGAACCATGTTCACCCACGCTTTCAGGGCTCCAGGCTTGATAGCAAAGCTGATCTTTTAATGCCATAGAAAAGACTAGCGGGATTGGGGCAAGCCTGATCTCAGAGTGAAGGGATGATATTGCAAAGGGCGGGTGGCACAGCAGATAAGCGCCTCTTCCTGGATCCCACCAGATAGCACTCTCTTACGGACAGGATCCAAAATATGCCTCCTGCTGGATGTAAAAGGTTGGGTAGACAATACAGCACGGGGGAAAGGTGTTCTCATAAGTAACCCAGCTTAGAGCCACGAAGGGCTTTAAAGGGCTTCAATACCATCAATAACAGCTGAAATTATGATGCCCCGGAAGCGTTGCTTTACTGCCTGTAAAGCGCTTCCGGCATTGCAAAAATAAAAATAAAAATGCACCATCCCCCCTCCACAGTCACATGACTGCTGTTTAGGTGCCTGGCAACCTGTTCACACTTCTAACCAATTATCAAATGCCCCATGATCATGACCCCGGGATCTTCATTTGCGATCTTCTCTGTATCGAGCTGCAAAATACGCCTTTTCCTGTTGCAATTATTATCGCTTCTCAGCTTGCCAACGAACTATGGGGGGAGGGAAGGAGAAAATGAACTTAGGTTCCAGTCATCAAGATGCCAGCTGTGAGAACTAAGGACGTTTCGCCAGGTGGTTATCAGAGTCAAAAAGATTTTCTCACAACAATATCAGGGGCAATGTGACCTGACATAATAGCGGGGGAGGGAGAACCTGAACTTTAACAATACGGGTTTGCGTGGAAAAGGTCAGATCTGGTTTTGCCCTTATCTGTGCCGAAATGATGTACTTGATAAAGCTTTGCATTAAGAGACTGGATCACCTTGACCGTGCTTGCTTTGGTTGAGTTCGTCAGCCGAAACGTTGACACTGCTGGACTAACCAGAAAGTCACGAGGAAGCCAACATGGAAGGTTGTGAGCTGCTGCCACTTCCTCTGGCGTCTGGGAGCTGCTGAAAGAGCTGCCTCCTGAGGGCAGCTGAACTCCTTTGACGGGATGCAGAAATCGAGCTGAAATCCTGAAGATTTTGGCTCCGTTCCTGCACTCCCGCCAAAGGAGTTACTTTCTGTACACTAACAAAGAGCTGAACTCCTTCGACAGGAAGCCCTTGAAGCCAGCCGCTAGCAATGAAAGTGAGCTGAAATCCAAGCAGATAGTCAGTGTGGTAAAGTAATGGTTGCGAAGGGCCTCAAAGTTGGTTGGGGAAGGCCCAACCCAGACCATGCATGAATGTCTCCTCACTGGGGCTGAAACCTTTCTTGGATGTCTCTCCCATGCCTCTGGCATCTTGCGTTCCTTACCTGTGACTCCGCTTAATGACCGGTGTGCTCGTTCAACAACCACAGTTGGTAGTGCCAGGATTGCAGAGAAAAGCAGCCATGTACGCATCTTTGTGACATCTCGCTAAACGACTGCTTTACTCAACAATAGAGATTACTATTCCAACTATGGCCATGAGACAAGGGCTACCTGTACCTGCAGCCATTGCAGCTTGCAGAGCGTAAGTGTCACATGTGCCGAGTGACCGATACCTATAATTCCCTGTGCTATTACATTTTGCACCAGCTGAAACTTACAAATACTCTTCAGCAGCAGTGCCATGTAGATTAATTGTATCAACCCAATCCAATTGCCAGTTTTAACACAAGCCTTTTATAAATATTTGCATTTATCTGGAGATCTGAGGTGGGTTTTTTTTTCTTTCCCTTTTAGTGATTCCATATCATCCTTCAAGTCATGAAAGTTTAGACCACCTTGGTGAAGAAAAGGAGGTACTCTTAATTCTTTTCTACTAAAATTGTTGGTGCCTTTCTAAGCCCGTAACTGGAAATGCCTTTAATTGGAAGGGTCACTTCACGTGGCTACTTTATCACAAATTAGTAGTAAGAACTGTTGGTTATAAGAATGGTTCAGCATTGCATCCTCACTAATTAAAGGAATTTCTCTACTTACAGGCAAAGAGTAGAGAAAGTGGCAAAGTATCTTCCAGTCTCGGTCTCCAAGATTTTGATTTACTTCGTGTTATAGGGAGAGGAAGTTACGCAAAAGTACTTTTAGTTCGATTAAAGAAGACAGAGCGCATTTATGCCATGAAAGTTGTGAAAAAAGAATTAGTTAACGATGATGAGGTGAGTGATACTTAACAATGTTTTTAATTTTTACATACTGCATTATCACTTCAATGATTTTATCCTCTGCCTTACCTGCTGAAATTGTTCTATGACTGGCGTCTGATCAACTCCAGTGGAGTACCTTCTCTTTCTTGAATGGGCTGTTTCGTAGTGCTTTATGCCACTTCAGGGAGCTGGTATTGTTCTTGGAATAGGGGATTGTTTATCCAATGATTGTACGGCCGACTTTTAATATGGATAAGCCAGTGAAATGTTTAATGAAACTCCCAGTAGATTAGACAGTTATTTCTTGAAATTTGTGATCAGCTTTTGCTTCTTGAAGAGTTCCACTTCTGATCTCCTATTACGCTTAGCTACTTTTTCCATTAACAAAAAGGCTGGAAATGTTGTAAACAAGGCTAAATTTTTACAAGAGGAACACTTTTGAAGTCAGAAACCTTGGACATTCAAGTGTAGTTTTGTTGCATTTTGTGATATATTCAGCCTAAGTATGCCCAATAATGCATAAAACTTATTAGCAAATCTTAAGTCATTGTGTAATGTCAAGAGATTTGATGGAATATAATGATGAAATGTGTTATGATATGTACAGAATAACCCTTGAGTAACAAGGATATGCACATGGAAACGTTTATGAGAGTAGTTATGAATAATTATTCAGCCACACACATACTAAATTGAGTTAAAGTTTACTTTAAGAAATAGCACAGTCCAATAAATGGTCCAGGTCATATACGTTTAACAGTCCAAAGAATATCCAATTACAAAGTCGTCCTAACGGTTGCCTTTGTCATTTACAGAAAACAAAGATATCAAAGTATAAGCACAACATAAATACAACAGAGAACCTTAGATAGCAACAGAATGTCAGAGAGACAGAATGTCAGAGAGAGCAAGCTATGATCTCTAGCTCCCTCTTATGGTAATTTGCAATATAATCAACCAATCGGAATATAGTATAAATCAATACAGTGATTTTATCTTAAAGCTACAGACATACATTGTTGGTTTATATATTGCCAACGCAACTAATTGGTGGACAGATTCCTAACAGAATGCAGTGGAATAAACACACTATAAGACCTGTGAGAAATGTAAGTTTATCTTGAATTTGCACTGATACGTAAAGTTGGAAACTTTAGACTCCTCAGTGATGCCCTAGGAATTTATGAACAATTGCTGTTTGTGAACATAGAGAGTACATGATTTTTTACCTTGCTATTATAAGAGTAGATATCGCTGCTTATCTCCAATTCGATAATCAACTTTAGCTAACAGGTTTAAATAGCATTTCCCAGAAAATATTGCAAAGGCAAGAAATATTTTGTGTTTGTTACAGGACATCGACTGGGTTCAAACAGAAAAGCATGTCTTTGAGCAAGCCTCAAATCATCCTTTCCTTGTTGGTCTTCACTCATGTTTTCAGACAGAAAGCAGGTAAACTACGCAATAAGATTTTTTTTGCATAAGTTTTTCTATTCTTTTTATAAGAGATTGTTTATACTTTTGTAAAAAAAAATTGCTTTTATTTAAAAAAATAATTACATCATTACTTATTTGTAAGAAATAAATTTCAGAAGAAAGATAAACAAGGCAATATTTACATAATTAAGAATATTATCACATAAAGCAACATACACAAGGTTTTTAAGATGGAGGGATGAGAATAAATGTTTAACAAAAAAAAGTTTTGATAGCCTTGAGGAGGAGGATATCTAAATTATAAAAAGTAGTATTTGACTATAGTCTTATAACAAGCTAACAGGATAACTCGATGAGAATTCTGAATATATTTGAGTTTGTTTTCACATAATAGTATTTGGAATTTCAGCTATAGATCACATAGATCTGTGTACAAAAGTTTAAAAAATGCCTTTGAGTGTGGAAAAACTGATCAAGATAACAAAATAATGTAATACGTAAATGACCCTTTGAAAATACAACTTCCTATGTAGAACAGATACTAGGATTAGAAAACCTGTTAAGACAAGAGTGGAAAAAAAATAGGTTGCAACAATTTAATCTTTAGTAATTTTCATATCTGCTGTTCTGCTTCCATACTTACATGGTGGTGATGAATAAATTCTCACTGAAATTCTCTAAGGAAGACTTAATAAAAGGAAATAATTAGTCCTGATGTATTTAGGAATGCTTGGTGTTCTCCCTATCGTCTATCATCTATCATGAAAAAAAAAAAAAAGAGGGAAATTTATAAAGGATAGTCATATGGGAAAAAATCTTACAACTTGGTAAAGAATAAATACATTTTACAATGAATAGTGAGGAAGTCATATTGTAAGAACTATGATACATAAGTGATAAGAAGGTGAATGATGATAACTGGATATGTGAAAGTTATCCATTACATAATCTCTCTTTGTGATTTAGGCTATTTTTTGTTATCGAATATGTGAATGGAGGGGACCTCATGTTTCACATGCAGCGACAAAGGAAATTGCCAGAAGAACATGCCAGGTGTGTGCTTCTTTGAACTGAATTTTGCAGACTAGTTAGAGAGAGAAAACAAATATATTTGAGTGTAGCATATTGATTTTTTTCCCTGGGTATCAGCATGTTTTCTTTATCTCATTTTCCAGGAGCACTGCCTCTTCTGTTTATTCTTTCCAGTTTAGCTGAGAAAGGGAGAGCAATCTCTCTCTCTCCCGGTTACATATTCATATATTTTCCAGATTAATTTTCCTTGCTTTTCCAAGGATATTTTTTTCAATTTGTCAAGATCCACAGATTGATTTCCCCAGGCCAAGGGGATTCAGTTCCACCTCAAAGAGCCTCCAAGAGTGTTAAAGAATTGATAGTAAACTATTTAAGTTTTTTTGTCACTCAGAGCCAAAAAAAGTAACAATTGCAGTTAATGTGGAATTAACAATAATTACCACTGTTACTGCTCTGTGCAATTATTGGTACTCAACTGAAACATGGTGGCATCTGGCTGGTACTAGTAATTATACCCATCTTCTTCCAGCTTCCTCAGATAACTGCATATAAAAAGCAAAACCTTAGGGGAAAAAATCAAGATGAGCTGTAGAAGGAGTCTTGGGCACACAGGTTTAGCAGTGAGACTGTTAGTAAGGATTAAATCCAGCTAAACAAAAAGCTGATCTGACATAAAACAGGGAAATTCATGGCGGTTTTAAACAACCTTGAGATGAAAAGCAATTGTTTATCTTGCCCCATTTCTGATTCAACATACTCCATGGATCTTCCCATCCAATAATTTGTTCAGGAGCAGTGTGATGCCGTAGCCTAAAAAGGCTCAGTGAGAAGAAAGAATAAATGCTTTCATTTTTCTGGGAAAAATGACTTGATAGGCAGGGATCTCTTCAAATTTTTGGAAGTGTATTTTAAAATGCTGATTTCATTTTAGGTTTTACTCTGCAGAAATCAGTTTAGCTTTAAACTATCTTCATGAACGAGGAATAATTTATAGAGACTTGAAGTTGGACAATGTTTTGCTGGATTCTGAGGGACATATCAAATTGACTGACTATGGCATGTGTAAGGTGAGAAGCAAAATAACCACAAATTTCTTGGTGGATGCCTTTTGATCAGAAATTGCTAGTTTCAAAAGCTTAAAAATGATTAAAATACAGTAAAACCTTGGTTTTCTGGAGCTTCATTTAATGGGGGTAGAATGCAAATTTTTCCTGTGGACTTCTCTTCTAAAGTTGACTGGTTGGTGTCAATAGCTGGTAATAGTTGGCATAATTTATGTCTTTTATATAATTTGTATAATGTTTTATTTATACCAATTTATGCCATTTGTATACATGAAGTAAAAAAGTCAACATTGGACAACACATTTTTTCAAAGGTTTTGCTTTCAGAAAAACTTGGTGATAATAACAGATGCCTTCAAACTGAACCCAAATATAATTTCAGAGTTACCGTATCAGGAGGAATCTTGAAAAATATGAAATTAATTTTTAATTATTATAACACATTTAATTGATAGTATTTCTGACATACTGCATGAGTTCAACAGGACTAAAATGTTTTGCTGCTAATGTTCGTTTGTACTTGGTGTCTACTGCATCTCATTGCAGTGTCCAACAATAGTCAGCCAATATTGATGGATTTCAGTTGCCCTGATACTGTTTTTGTAGCAATTACTTTTCACCATGTTCGTCACCTAGATTTTCAAGAAGTACAATTGTGAATGCAGAAAATGAACCTTTAATGACATGTTGCACTTAATGGTCTTGTGTGCTGTTACATCACATGCCACATTTTTCTGACTTGGAACCAAATTCTTTTGAAATGGCCACTCCCTTTTAATGTATTGCAACTTTAGATCTCCACAGATATTCCAGTTGTATAGTAGATGTACTTCAACAACAGCTCCATGTTTCCATATGTTTTATGTGTGCGTAGTAGCCAACAAGTCATGAAGGGCATTGCCATTGTGTAAAAACAGAAGATTTCTGTAAAATGGTATGTGATAGATTAAATTACAAGTTATTTTCATGATTAGCAATTCAAAATCCATAAGATTCATCCAAAAGTGTTCAGGAAACAAAATCTTTGTTGTCCAGTGTTACGTAATTTCATTAGTCACATCTACTATATCAGTTGGATACATTTGGTTTTAATTGACACCTCTTTGCTTCAGAGGATTGGTTCAAGTCATGAATTTTATTTTATTAACAGACTACAAGTATCTTGATTTAAACTTTAGCATTCTCAGGTTATTCATCAGCAATATCAAATAAATACTTCTATGCTGAAAAAAATATAAGCTTATTCCAGTCTGGTTATTCCAGTTTGAAAGGATGTACGTGTCCATACTGGGCAAGAAGGAAATTAAGTACAGATCATTAGGAAATTCATTAGCATGATTTATTTTTTTGTTTACAATAAGCAATCAGAATGTCCATATCTTAAGTTTTGGTCTTGCTAGAAAGTAAATGCAGTTTTTATATCCCTAAGATGAATTGGAAGTAGAAGATATATTTGAACCGTGTGAGATACTTTTTCCTTGTTTCTATTTTAAAAGGAAGGATTAAGACCTGGCGACACCACCAGCACTTTCTGTGGCACTCCTAATTATATTGCTCCTGAAATTTTACGTGGAGAAGATTATGGTAACTCTTACTATTTTGTAAAATGCATAGTTAATATCCTAAACAAGAAAAACTTCAAACAAGCAAGTGATGCCATTCACTCTATCTCTGAATTTTAATCTTGCCATCAAAGAATAAAATATACTTTTCAGAAAAATATGTTTTGATCCTTCTTTTAGTTATCAGTTACATTTATATCTCACTTATATACTAGGAGCCCAAAGCAGTGTACATGACTTCTCCTATTTTTTCCCCTCATAATACCCTTGTAAGATGGTTTCAACTGATTCTGCCAAATTCTGTGGAGTCTTCTATAGCTAATTCTTATTAATTCAATTTTTTAAATTAAAATCAAGTCGTATTATTTAATCTTTCTCTCTTTTTAGATTCCAAGATATTTATGTCTTAGAATTAATGTCTTCTGTAATCCACATGGCCAGAGTTTTGTTCAGTTGTATTTATAAATAAATTCGCTTAAACAGTGCGTGAAACCATGTATTTATTGAACAGGTTGAGCCAACATTCACTGTCTTTTTTGGGAAAAAAATAATGAAATACTAGGATGAGTAGCACTTTTAAAATAGACTTTCTAATCATTACAATGAGGGACAGTACAGTTCTTCCCCTGTAAAAGAACCATTTACGTTGGTTGCCACCAGTGGAACCAGCTTTTCCTGATAAAGATATATGTAAGTAAATGCTCAATCAAAGGAAAAGTTTATGGGTCTCAGAAAAGGAGTCATCAATTCTAATGAAACTGAAAGGCTTATTAAACCGCTCAATATTAGGTAATCCCCAGGTTATGAGTGTTCCCTTAACAAACATTTGAAGTTACACAACAAGGCCCAAAACTACAAATCCTGCAACACCACAGCAGTTGTTCGTCATTACAAACAATCGCAGAGCCTCTGCAACATTCGTCTTGCATGTTGCCGACGGAAATGGAGCTTCTGAGGTGCGGATCTGCCCCTCAAAAGGTCCATTTTGGCATCCAGAGACCTTGCCTGGCATGTTGCAGACCAAAATGCAGCTTCCAGGGCCCGGACCCAGGGGGAGGCCTTGGGTGGTCTTAGGCAGGTGGCTTGTTCCATCAATAGCCCCCCTATGGTCTTCCCTACCCTGAAATACCTCATGTGCACTTAACAAGACTCGCATTCGATTAGTGAACTCATGGGCAAAAGAAGGGAGTGATCCTGTTCAAGGTACGAGATTCACTCCCCCAAATCCTCGGGTTATGAATGGAATGGGCAGGCTCCGTTTCATTCGTAACTCGAGGACTACCTGTACAGTCAGGAGGAGAGTGTACATATGAGGAATATACAGTATTGTGATTTGGAATTGCTTGGCTGCCTCCAGATCTAGGTAGCTCCTGGTCAATTAGGCAACAGTGCATTCTCAATTGTACCCCTATATTTCATAGGAGAGTGCCATATACGTCTGTGAGCTGAAACTTAAATAAGCATGGGTCATTTCATAAAGAAGGTGAAAGTTGGCTGTGTTCAGTAAAGTCAGGATGCAGAACTGTTTCGTATATTGTTTCTTTAACAGAATCTATTAATGGAACTTAAATGAAAAACTACATACAGGGTTATGTATAATTCTAAAGAATTCATATACTTTCTACCATCATTGTTCTAAAACTTTATTACGTCAAGCAAAGTGAAGCATATTCAGCCTTTTACTGAATTCAACTAAACTTAGTTTAGGAACAAAGCCATAAACAGTATGTGAATTAACACAGTGCATGTTAGACTAGGTTAAAATAAAGTAAGAAGTCAGATTCAGTTTTATTGGAAAATCCAACCATTGTTTTACTGTCACTTAATCATTGTCTAATCAGACAACAAATTAATATGGCTTATTTGGGGAAATTATATGAACCCAGCAGTTGCATTTGTTAACCTAAGTTTAACATGTTATATAAACTCAGTTTATCTTTCATGAAGTAACATGTAGGCCTAGTTGTCAAAATAAATATTTTGCTATATTATACTATATCAGATGGTAGGTAAGAAAAAAAAACCACCATCCATGTAAAAATATGTTTTTGTGTATATAAAATCTGAGTCTAGCTTTGTTGACAAGAATGCTGGCTAAAATACCTGCTGCCCATATATTGAGCATTTTCTGTTTCTCTGTGTGGGGAATACTTTCTGTTAAAATAGAATCAAGTTTTCTCAGAATTTTTGAAAGAACTAGAAAACTGGTGGATGAGTTTAGAAAACTTTGGAATTCTTTAGCATGTATGTTACTTCAAAATCCGTGTAATCAGGTTCAAACTCTTAACTTAGCTATATTTATTGCATTATTATCATAAGTTTTTAAAGTGAATAGGTTAATTGGATTATGCTCCTTAACGTGTTATACTGTCTTCCTGTAACTCTTAGGTTTTAGTGTGGACTGGTGGGCTTTAGGTGTCCTGATGTTTGAAATGATGGCGGGAAGATCTCCTTTTGATATTGTAGGAAGTTCTGATAATCCTGATCAAAATACAGAAGATTACCTCTTCCAAGGTTAGTTAATTCTAAACGGCTAGTAATCAATGAAGAAAAAAACACTTACATGGTAAAACTGAAAGAGTGTAGCAGATCTTGCCTGTTGATTTCCATTTCCATTCATGTTTGCTGAAAATATATGTTTAATTACATCATATACTTAAAACACCACAGGAGATGTAAGTAAATTATTTGTTGCTAGGGGAAAAAACTGCTCCACAGATAGCAAAATGGAAATTAATGAATAATTAATAAAAAGATATTGGGTGGCATTAAACAAATTGTCTGGTTTAGCAGAACAAAAAAGATAGGAAAGATGACACTATTGTTCTCTTTGAAAGAAGGCAGTGGAAACCCCCTTTCATAATATTGCTGAAAAATCCCTACAAGTTGTGTCCATGATGTCACTAGAAGTTACACTCAGTTTGAAGGGGACTTTGATTCCAGTCCCCAGAGATATGTTGAGAATGCTAATTTATGAAATTTCAATGCCCATAATTATTTCTTCTAGTTATTCTGGAGAAGCAAATCCGTATCCCACGGTCCCTTTCTGTGAAGGCAGCAAGTGTTCTAAAAAGCTTTTTAAACAAGGTGAGATTTTGTGCCATACATAGTTCGAAGATTCCACAGTTAAATATACATCTTGCAGTTACAAAGTTGAGAAAGAAGCCTTTAGAAGGATCAAAGCCAGTTTGTTGTGTGATCAGCTTAAAAGTATTTGCCCAGAGTTTTCATTTTATTTTAGTCTGGGTTTATTTGCAGACAAAACTCACTGGTGGAGTTTTGCTTCCAATGCAAACATACTTAAGACTTTATCTTTAATTCTTCTTCTGGCTGCTTAGAGCCCAACTGAGTTTGATGCTTGACCTTGCATGGATGATTTGAGTTTAATGGTGTCAGGTAGAAGGGCTCCAATGAAAGCTTGCCTCTCTTACATGCTGTTGGCAATGGAAGAAATTTCTCTTTGATTTTAGTTTTTAATTATTTAACTAAGCAAGGAATCAGTTAGAGAGGCCTCTGTAGCCATTTCTATAGCATCCCCTATTTCTCAGTGCAGGAGAAATACACAATTTTAGAGAAGAGATCTCGGAAATATCGCAATTCAAGTGGGAATGGCTGGTGTATACAGGTAGACTTATGGGATGGAAGTTCCTTGTACTTGTACCATTTTCTAAATTGATACATTTCTACATAAACTAGTAATTGTTGTGTTAGCATTAAAGGTTAATATTTTTAAAAGAAGACTCAAGCTAAAAACAATCAGACACCTATCATTTATATCAATAACCATAAAAGCATAACAAAAAGCTATACAAGATCTCTTCTTTGCAAAAAATTGTAATTTTTCCAGGATGGTTTAAAGGAACTAGCTAAAAATGCAAGTACAAAGATGGCATGGGGTAGCAGCTGTAAACTAAATGAATTGTCTTTAATTGAGACATAACTTTAATCTGCATGATACAGATGTTCCAGCTGTCAAGATTTGGCATAAAAGTAGCAAAAAACAAACTTGTCATTCAAGGCACTGTCTGTGTGAAAGAACGTGACACCATAGATTTGCTAAAAGTCAAATAAATCTGATAGATAGTAGTTGTGGAGGACTCCTATGTATCCACTTCAAAAATATTCATGTAGCTTTTGTTATTCAAATATATGCTTATGTTTTTCATTTGTAGGATCCAAAAGAACGTTTAGGATGCCATCCTCAAACAGGTTTTGCAGACATTCAAGGACATCCATTTTTTCGTAATGTTGATTGGGATCTGGTAAGCATCTCTGTAAATACTGCATTTAAAAGCTTCAGGCACTACTAGTGGATCTTTGTAGTCTCATCCAATTAGTCAATTTCTAATACTGATAGGACAAAGTTGTTAAACGCTTAGAGATTTCCCCATATAATTGCCCTTTGTAGAACTCAGTAAGGTTCTTTTATGTAAGAAGTAAAAACAAATTCAGGGAGAGGAATTTGGTACGTGAGGTTGCTTAGATTTTTTAAAAAAAATTAAGAAACACTGTCTTTTTAAACATTGAATAAAGTAACTATGACAAAAGATTAACACAGTTTAGCCTCTCAAAATCATTTCTGAAATCTGTGCACTACATAATTCTTGTGAGAATAAGGAAAAAGCCAGGTGATCTTCTGCTATCAGAAGCATGATCCTTTCTATAAGCAAGGAAGGAAAATACCACGCTTTCTTTGCTTGTGGATTTCTGGTTTACATTTCGAAGGGTTGATAGATCTAATGCTCTTAGAGGGCCTAGTGTGAAGTTGGTTGGGCAGCAATACTTTTTAAAGTTTAAATTAGAAATAAGGAATAATTTGTCCTTGTTTAGAGGGCAAAGAAGGAAGGACTAAAAGTCTTGGAGGAGTTTCTTGGGAATGTAAATCGATTTTTTAAATCCACAAATGAGTACTGCTGCCCAAACAAGCTAAAAAAAAGGCTCCATATTGAAACGTAAGCATAAGATCCTATTTTAACTATTACATCACATTTTCATGTCTGAAATTTTACTAATCAGATATTTTGCAATATAATTACTTGCCAACCCAAACTGAAAATATTTTAATATACCAAGCATACGAAAAATAAAATATACATGATATATTTTATGTTTCTGAAGTATCAGGACAAATTTAGATTTATAAAGGATTTTTTTTTTTTAATTATTTCCATTTCTCTGAAAAGTCTTTGTCTGAAAAAGTTGGAAAATATTCTTCTCTCTGGAATTTCTACTTCTCTAAACCTATGGATTCTGCAGTGTATTGCTTATTTGCGTAATTCAAAAGCACAACCAAATTCAAAATTCAGTCCAAATCAGAGGTTTTGTAATAACGTACTAAGTAAGAATCTGAGTTAAAATTTGTAAGGCGGTCAAGGAAATCGTAAAATTAAAGATCAGATAAAACTTCTGTAACCTTAGAAGTATTACCCATTATTTATAAGAAGCTATATTTTAATGCTGAATGCTCTATTCCTAGATGGAACAAAAACAGGTTGTTCCTCCATTTAAACCAAATATTTCTGGAGAATTTGGTCTGGACAACTTTGATTCTCAGTTTACCAATGAACCGGTACAACTCACACCTGACGATGAGTAAGTAAATGATTTCAGAAGTTAATGTATCAGAAAAAAATACTCTTGTAAACCTAGTAGTTGTCATGAAACCATGTTCTGTAGAGTAGAGGAGAGTTATGTATAATCTTCATGTTCATGTTTGAATGTTGGTTGCTGAGTGTGGAGACAGATACCTTATCTGGCTTATAAGTATCTTGAATGATACAGAAAAATGAACATAGAAAATTCATGGCAGAAAAAGACCTAGTGGTCCATTGAGTCTGCCTTTTGAGTTTATTTGGTTTTTAGTTCTTTTTTCTTTCTTAATTTTAATAATTATTTTTTATTTATTAATTTTTATCTATTTATTGTTGGATGATGGACATGTATTTTATCCCAAGCAATTTTAAACTCAGTTTCTGATGATTGACCCACTGTCTCTGATGGAAGTTGGTTTCAACTTGCACTGCTCTCCGTGAAGTCATATTTTCTAACATTACTTTTGAGCTTCCTTCCTGTCAATTTAAAAGTTTCTATAGATTCTCAGTCATCCAGGTCATGGTTGTCCTAAAGGTGCTTTTCAGGAGGCAACTGGACTTTCTTGTTTTTACTTTGAGGACGTTTCGCTTCTCATCCAAGAATCTTCTTCAGTTGTGACTCGATGGTGGGGGAATGGTAGGATTTATAATCCTTGCAGCTGGTCATTTGCATTCTTTTTGATGGTGGTTGAAGCACTTCAATGTTATCTGTGTGCTCGGGATCACCTGAGTGTCATCATCTGGATGACTGAGAATCTCTACAGACTTTTAGCTGTGCAGTTTGGGATGAACTTCCTTGGAATGGTGTGGGAGTATGAACAGATTTCCAGAAAAAAATTGCAGACTACAGGAACCATTAAGCACTACTGGGGTGACCCTAAGAACACAGATAAACAAGTGCTTCAGCAACCATCAGAAAGGATGCAAATGACTAGCTGTCTGCAAGGAATATGAATCCTTCCATTCCCCACCATCCGGTCAGAGCTGAAGAAGCTTCTTGGATAAGAAGCGAAATGTCTTCAAAGAAAAAACAAGAAAATCCAGTTGCCTCCTGAAAAAGCTCTTTTGGGATTTCCTGTCAATTTGAAGTTATACCCTCGTGTTATTGATATGATTGACCACTTAGAAGCAGGATATTTAACTTGATAGATCCATGGTCTGATTGAACGTGGACCATTCTTCATCAGAAATGGCTTTCTTAATGTAATGAATAGAAAGGCTGGTGGTAAATTAGAGAATAAAAGTCTAGTTCAATTAACTTCTGAAATTCAAGGTCAGTGGGGCCAATCTAATGTTGAGTCCTGTTCTGATAATTCAGTGTAAGAGACTGACACATGTAGTCCAAAATTATCTGACATCATTTCATGAAATACTTGGGTTGAGGATTAACAAGTTAATTCATGATTCTAACTGAAGATGTCACAGATCGATGTACAGGAATCTTCTCAGAGTAATAGTTAACACCTGGTTAGAACTAGATAAGGGTCATAGATAAAAGTTCACTTGTGGCTATATAACGATTCTAAACTGATGCCTCTTTAACTCCTCCGCCTGGTTCTGCCAGTCCTCCTACATTTGAGATCGCTGAGATCCATGCCAACAGGATGAAGCTGAATCTCAATTAAAAACAAAACAGCCTATAATCTGTATTTCTGCAGGCACATGTTTAGGAGGAGTGCTGCAGAATGATGAAATGTTCAGCCAAACGTGTCCATTCAAGGATTTATCTGAGTCCATCCCTGTAAACAATGAGCAAGCTTTTACTTCTAGAGTTTATTATTTATGATTCATGGAGAGAAGAGTACCTGAGGACTATGTATATTACACATATAAGATCCTTGACTTAATGACCATAATTGAGCCCAGAGTTACAGTTGTAAGTTGTGCTGGTTATTAAGGGAGTCACCATGTGGCCTTGACTGATTTTTGTACCTTTTTTATGGCAGTTGTTAAGCGAATTTGGCAGGTGTAAAGCAAAACTTGCAGGGGATGGTCATGATTGATGGAGTGAATCCATTGTCTGCAATGGGTAGGTTGTGCTGGAACAGGAAGTAAATGCCAGATTATGGCAAAAAAAAAACACGGTCATAAATCATAGTCACACGACTGCAAGACAGGGCAACTGGCTCTAAATGTGACCCGGTTACAGAGCACTTAAAATGCAGTCATGTGATTATGGGGGAGCGGCCTTTGGAATGTCAAATCTCAGTCGTAAGTAGTCCCAGGGAGGTCCCTTGTAACTTTGGTCCCTAAGCAACCAGTCTTAAGATGAGGACTACCTGTACTTTAATTTTGGAGTAGAAATTTGATTTTGGTATTCTTGCTCATATTTTCAGGGATATTGTAAAGAAGATTGATCAGTCTGAGTTTGAAGGATTTGAATATATCAATCCCCTCCTGATGTCAGCAGAGGAATGTGTCTGATCTCCTACGCATAACCTGTGCCATCTTTTTTATAAATATTTTTCCTGCATGGGTGAAAAATGTTTCTGTTGGGAAGCAATGGACCCAGTTCCTTTGTCATCCGGTATGAACTTCATCATAACAATATCATTGAGTTGCTATCAGCGGAATACTTTTTCATTGATATAAAAGGAAACAAAAGAATAGTAACAATTACACCAAAATTGGAGTCTAAGAGACGGTTCTTGTTCTGGCCAGAAATTATCTAATATGAAATAATTTGCCAGATGTTCTGCTTCACATATAATGTTAGTTTGTGTTTTATAGACTGTTGCATTAAGTGATGTTTAGCAAATTGTATATGAAACGTGGTTTTCTGACAACTAGGTACAGAGATAGTAAGACTGCATCGGTTTTTTTCTCCCTCCATTGTTACTTATTTTTATTTACTGCATTGTCCAAATTAAGCTACCAAATTAATTTTGAAAACACTTTTTAAATTGCAAAGTAAGAAGTATCCCCACACTGAATGTACTAAATGTTATTGTCCACACAAGATAGGGGCTTACAGATATGAGCTGCTCTCATTTTGTAAACATTCTGAATTTACTGTGAATTGACTTCATTATTGAGACCCATTGAATCTGATTAAATCTCCCTATAATTACTCTCTTTTGTGGCATTTGGGACTTTGAAACATCTTTTGTATACTTATTATCTGTATCCCTGAAGAATTATGAATGAAGTGTTTTGCAGACTAAATGAAAATGGTACAGCATTTCTGGTGACAGTGATAGAACCATGGATAGTAGATGCAATGACGTTAACGATTCTATTGTAAAAGAGAATTTTCTTATTAAGCACATGTACTTCATTGCTTTTAATGTTTGGCGAAAACCTTTGATAACTTACGCTATATAAATGAGTGCCTTCCTCAAATAGCTTTTTGATTACTATATAGTATAAAGCTAATTTAAGCAAAAAAGAGTTCAGTTGTTGAGTCTTTTTGAGGAGAAATAGGTAAATAATGTTCCAAAAGTAGGTCTCGTGTGGCTATCATATTAACGGGGACCATAATTTACTTACACAATGTTTTTAAAAAGCTGGTATTAAAAAAAAAAAGATGTTGAGACTTTGCAAAGAAGAGCAACTAAGATGATTAAGGGGCTGAAGACAAAAACATATGAAGAATGGTTGTAGGAATTGGGTCTGGCCAGTCTAGAGGAAAAAAAGGATTAGAAACAGACACGCTAGTAGCATTCCAGTATTTGAGGGGCTGCCACAAGGAAGAGGGGATCAACTTATTTTCCAAAGGACCAGAAGGCAAGACAAAAAGAAACAGTGGATGGAAATCAATCAAGGAGAAAATTAAGGAGAAACTTCCTAACAGTGAGGACAATTAACCAGTGGAATGGCTCGCCTCCAGAAGTTGTAGATGCTTCATCTCTGGAGGTTTTTTAAGAAAAGACTGGACAGCCACCTGTCTGAAATGGTACAAGGTCTCCTGCTAGAGCAGGGGATTACACTAGATGACCTCCAAGGCCCCTTCCAGCTCTGTTCTGATTGATATATCACGTGTTCTATGAAAAGAATCAGGAGGAGCAATGAGAGAGAAAGGAGGCATAGTCACATCAGCCAAATCAGTCTGGCAGTCAATGGAGCAACAGATGTTCCAGTTAAATCCTCAGAAGTCCAGATTACTCTTTTTGCTAGTGTGGCATTTATTGAACTTCAGTGCATTGGGGGAAATTATGTTTATTTGAATAGTATGAATTATTTTGTATTATTCAAATAAAAACACTAATTGGTTCTTGTACTTTCATTATAATGCTAACAAGCTGTGTCATACTCAGGGTACATCTAAACATCTTTTTAGTCCTGGTAAGTGTTAGATCTGGTAAGTTATCTTTAGTTAATCTTTTGAGGGGGGGGGAGCAGCAATTATTTCTGTGGCATAAACTTAAAATGCTTGACTACTTCCCTCTTCCTTTTCAGATTCCTTCATTACAGCAAATAAAATTAGGCTACTTTCAATGGGCTTGGTACAAAATGGTTTTCTTACCAGAAGTACTTTGTCTGACTCGCACAATTCTAGTATAAAATTTTAACGTTCAAGAATTCTAAGCACAACAGTGATGCATTTACAGACAGAATTTCTTCTATTCCCTCCTGTAAATGTGTCTGTCTGTCTGTCTGTGTAGTGTATATTTCATGTTGTGATATCAACTTTGTGATGTCAATTTTAACGAAGATTTGAATATTAAAACAGATGTATTTTGAAGTTTTTTTCCATATTTGTTTCAGGTAAATGCCATGATATTAAAGTGTTAATTTTTGAACCTTTTTATTAAAATGTAGAAGCTATTTTAAAATAATTGAACTAGGAATTCAGATATGGTCAAGCTAATGCAGCATGATGGGATGTAATGGTTGGTTTTGTATAAAAACTGTTGGTGGATGTTTTCATGAACTTGTTCTGTTCTGTTGTGTTTCCTTCTTTTGTTGCCTATGATATTTGTGTAACCATCTCCTGAAATTTCTACATACTTTTTAAACTGTCATTTTTAAGTTTCAAAATAAAAAAAGCAGGGCTTTTGTTTATATCCTGTGTTGCAATTTGTCCTGCTCTTTTTCTCAAATACCCTTTGAATGACTACATTTGCTATTTTTCATGTAAGAGTGGTATAAACATTGTCTTTTGCTTATGGTTAATTCTGCTTTCTCTGGAAATAAACAGACATTAGTGATGTGTGTTGCCCTGGAATGCAGACAAGATTATCATCCATTTCAGAGTAATCCCATCCATGTCTGTCTACTTCCTAACCAGTAACCAAAAACCAGCATACCACCACTGGCATTTACATTTTTGGTTTTCTCTGATTCATCAATAGTTCAGCAACCTTCTTCAGGGAGCTACTCAAAACTGCATAAGAGTCCTCATTTGTTGACAAAAAGTCCATTGTAATGTAGGATATGATGCAGCGAGAACCTCAATGTGCCAACCAACCTAATAGTTAATGCTCCACCTCACTAAGATAAGCAGAGAAGCTTACTCACAGCTACATTCCTTCATTTGGCAAAGGAGTAAACAATAAGTTGGGTGGTTGTGTGTGATACCAGTGCAGGGTATAAACTGCTTCCAGTGCTATATTCTCTGGTTGGTTAAAGCTGTGGGTCCCATATTTCTTTCATTAATTAACAACAGCCTTATGTGAAGGTTAACTTTGTTCCAAAGTACTGTTTTTGCACTTGAGTTTTGTGTTTTGGGGGCAGGGGGAGGACTTAGAAAGTGCCAATAGCAAATCTGCTCCTTGTTCCCCTAGGGGTACTATGAAACTCGCCAACTAATGTGTTAAAGTATGCTTCATTAAGAGAAAGTGAGCATGCTACATCACTTGTGGTGTGTGAGAATTTTATTTTATACAGAAGTGAAAACTATGCACCAAGAAAAAAAGAGTACAGAACCGAGAAGTACGTAATAAAATGCCTATGCATTAGCCACTAAAAACTTAATACAACATTTAAGTAGACCTCAGTTGCAGGGTGGGGAACATGGGCTATGGACAATTGGGCTCCCAAAGGGAATTACAATAACAATGAAGAAATTTTGTGACTGTTGAAAAGAGGTGGACTTTTAAGACAACTGGGAAAACTGAAGTTAGGCTAAGGAAAAATAGTCGAGCCATTCATAACTATTCATTATCTCCACTAAAGCTTTTCAGTCATTACTTGGAGGACAGAGAATTTACAAAATGCAGCAAGTAAGATCCTACATTATTTCATGGCATTGATGATAATTCTGTGATAAACCATTATCATTGATAATTCTGCGATAAACCATAAAGATGCAACTGTCAATAAACTCATCTTTCAAAGTTTGTGTGTGAGATCCTTTAAGGCCATTCCTTCAGACCTCTACAACATATGCCTACCTTTACATCTGGTCAGGTATTAATAGTAGTGAGATGAAAATTGTTTTGTATGGTTGCTATAACAATCATTATTAGCAAACTTGTGTTGCTATTTTTCGGTAACCCTACTGTTAACAATAGATAAAATTTAGAATAACTTTCTTAATAATAAGATCTAGTTTTAGTTAAAAATTTGACAGGAAATGGAGGAGGATGGGATAACAAATGGATACCAACAATTTCCTTGGCAAGATGTTAGATTTCTTTATTCATAGGCCTTTCTGTTCATAGGTTTTTGAAGCACAATGTTCAGAAATTGTTTTAAAGACACATTCAATAAAAATTCATCTGAGGGATTATTAGGTGTAGATTAACAATATATTTCAGCATTAGAACTTCAATACTCATCTGCTAGGAACTGATGAAGGATCATTGGTTATAAATACTGAATAAATAAAATCAGAAATTATTCTTGAGCAGTTGCACACTATTTTTTAAATCAAACCAATTTTCATATATTAAGGAATTTTTAGAAGGCACTTTTCTTTCTGGCCTCGTGTTTTAATTATGTATGCAGTTAATGTAGGAAATCATATATATTTTGTATGACAGATGTTTACAATGAGCATGAAAAATTAATTCATAAAACAGTGTGATAAAATTCTGATTCCATTTTAGCAGTTTGAAAAACAGGCTTGATGTGTGTGTGTGTTAACCAGTTTGACAGGAAGGTTATTTTTAGTTTTTTTGTACAACCCTAGTCAACACCTTTCTTTCAACGTGAAGCAATTTGGGAGAGCAATTTTCACTTGTGTATTAAAAATGCAGATCAGTTGTCTCGCTTTTCCCTTCATGTGTGGGTGAGAGAGACATCACCTATCAGAAACCACACAAAAAAATGTGAAAGGTGAGCTATATAGAGACCTTAAAATTGCCCTGTGGAATTTTCACACTGCCACATAGAAAGCTCCTTAAAAGAATTTGTTACATTTATTTTATCTTGTATGAGAACTCAGAGCTGTACAACTTTGCTAGCAATCTTCTGGACATAATGAAAGTTGTGGATTTGGTGTTCTGATTATATAAATTACATTGCTTACAGTGGTGGGATTCAAAAATTTTACTACCGGTTCTGTGGGCGTGGCTTGGTGGGTGTGACAGGGGAAGGATACTGCAAAATGTCCATTCCCTCCCCACACCTGGGGGAAAGTTACTGCAAAATCTCATTCCCTCCCTACCCCACTAACCTGCTTTCCAGCTCCGTTCTCCTGTGCAAGGCAACAAAAAAAGACCCAGCTGATCAGCTGGGACTCGGGAGGCAGAGAATAGATGGGAGCGAGGCCAGTCAGAGGTGGTATTTGCCGGTTCTCCGAACTACTCAAAATTTCCGCTACTGGTTCTCCAGAACTGGTCAGAACCTGCTGAATACCACCTCTGGCTTCCACCATCCATTTTCCTTTGCTCGTTCCCAGTCTAAATGTCTTAAATTAAACTCACCACCCAAGGCTTTAAGAGAGGAAACTTGGATGGTTATTATTATTATTATATTATTATTATTATTAAAAATAATAAAGATGGTTCTCAAATTACGACCACAAACAAGCCCAAAAGTCTGTATAGGAATTCAACTTTACAAGCACCGGATTTTTGCACTGAAAAGTCTATCCTCAGGGCCAATCGAAACAGAGGTAGCTAGTCAAACATTTCATCTCCTTTTCTTGAATGACTTAATTTGCATGTTACTATTTAACATGCCCCTTATTAGTACAACTGGAAATTTTAGAGCTTTCATCACTTTCTTCCTCTTTCCATTCAGCTTGCTTTCTTGCCTGACTCCATCTTGGCTTGTGAAAGTACTTTGCTTTCTTTCTGTCTGTAAAGAAAGGTACTACAAAAGTATATTTACACCCTACATATGATATTCATTCATTCTCACCCCCCCCTATATATTAGTAATTTTTACACTGCTATTGATACTATTGTACATATATATTTGTAACATTAAACATACATTATAATTATAAATATAAATACACTATATTTTTTTTATAAAAGTTATACACCCGATGACAATGCTTCTGTGCTACCTGCTATCCAAAAGCTCATTGTGTGATCAAGGGTGTTTGCAAGCTACATAAAAAATAATAATAATGGGAGTTTTGACCAGACAACCTAAAAACAAACACATCAAGACAGTTTTATCACGAGATAATGTAAAT